ACAAAACTATAATAATTTATGAATTATGAAGGGCTCATGTGGGAGGGGGGAGTGGGGAGGGGGAAATGAGCAAATGATATTAAGGGCTAAAGTGGAAGGCAGGTGTTTTGAGATTGATAAGGGCAGCAAGTGTGCATATGTGCTTGACACAATGGATGTATGTATGGACTGTGATGGGAATTGTACGAGCCCTCAATAAAATAATTTAAAATAAGAAAAAAATCAAAGCAAGGAAATGTAAAATTTTGAATAACCAGAAGTTTGAGAACCACAGAGCCTTGTGTCTGTCTTTCAAGTATCAGGCATATTAGTAGCTTAAGGATCCATATTAAGCTGAAATTGAACACCTCCCATATCTTCTCTTGATCCATTGTACTATTTTTGATTGGGACAGATTTTAAGAAAGCTAAAATCTGTACAGTAGATTAAAAAATTATAAAAAGGTAAGGAATGCTAAATTTCAAGGCATTTTACTGTGGCTCATAACAAACGATTGATAACACTGAGAATGATGGGAATTCCAGAACACTCACACATGTAAGTGAAAGTGGGATGATGAGTACGGAAGACTGCAGAAGAATTGATGCATTTGAATGATGGTGTTGGCGAAGACTACTGAAAGTACCAAAAGGACCAACAAATCCACCTTGGAAGAAGTACCAACAGAGCGGTCATTAGAAACAAGGATGGAAGAATTTGTCTTAACTATTTGGACATGTTGTTGGGAGAGACCAGTTCCTGGAGAAGGACACTTGTTGGGAAAGTGGATGGTGGGTGAAAAACATAAGACATCCAGATGAATGAGCACAGTGGCTGCAGCAATGGGCTCAAGCACAGCTCTGTGATTGTGAGGCTGGAGCAGGGATAGGCTGTGGATCTTTCTGTTGTGCATAGTCTATGATTTGGTACCAAATTGGTACCTAAAAACAACAACAATAATGAAGTTTCAATACTTCTCTAGACGTTCCTGCCCATACCTTTAAGTCTGTCCTTTAAAACTCTTGGAAAAATATAAGGTTTACATAGATTGAATAGGCAATATGTAAGCACCCCGAGTGTGAGTAGGCCAATAAATCCTCTCAAGCACTTGGACAATCCTGATCCACAACTACAATCAATGAGCCTGTTAATCCATCAATCAAATAAACACATATCCATACCAAAGTCTCTTGGAATGGATTGAGTGAACTTCAGATTTTTTGACAAGTTCTTTCCTGCTTTAATTCTTTCTCCCCCCAAATTCTTAAATATTAAATATATAATAAGAATTTCAGGAAAATCAGAAGATTGTCAGTGTGACACTCCATTGAGTCAAAATTTAGACTGTGACAAGTAACTTCTCTAATATATTTCTCTAGTTTTTATTTTACAAAATTAATAGTTGCCATTTACTTGATTCTCATAGGGTACTAAAAATTAATAAGACAACATTTCAAAATCATTTTCAGAATTTCTGAGACATCTTAGAAGTTTTAAAACTTAGCAACCAAAATCTGTTTTCTCTTAATGTCACTCAGCAAAAGCTTCTAAAGAATTGGGATGAGAGGGAAACGTTTTCATTAAAAAGACAGTATTTGGAAGTCACACACATAGTGTGTGTCAAAGTCACTATATAGCTGTGGAATAGCTAGCCTGCTAAATGAAAAGAGTTTATCATATTGGTTAATAATAATAATTCATCAAATTTGCTATACTGCATCTTCAAATGGATCATACTTCAAAGTAATGTTGACAGAAATGCCATATGTCTCAATAGTCAACATGTTATTAAAAAACCATATGGATCTCTGAAGCTATTTTTGATGCTATGGTGTATGATATTTTATTTTCTCTGACATATGCATATTTTGCAGTAATTATAAATTTGTCCACTATTTTACATTTAGCCTGCTATCTTGAAGAATAGCCATTAAACCCATTGCCTTCCAGCCAATTCCAATTCATAATGACCCTACCAGGACTGAGTAGACTGCCCCACAGGGTGGACATGGCTGTATATTTTACACAAACAGATTGCTACACCTTTCTCCCATAAAGTCATTGATGGGTTTGAATTACTGACCTTCCAGTTACCAACCAAATACTGAACCATTGCTCCACCAGAGCTCCTCATCTTAAGCCATCTAGTCAAAATATAGCTCTAATGTATATTTAATAAGTGATTGGAGATAATTCACATCATATTCACACTTTATTTTGGTAACTGAGGATTAAATTTTGTTTGTCCAAACTCTTGACCATTGGTCCAATCAGGGAAAAAAACAATAAGATTAAATATTATCAACTTTCTACAGATATTTTTCATTTCATTTTATTTAGATCAGGCTTTTATATTAATCACTGTGGTCAAATATTTATTTATTATATATGTGATATTTACTCTAAAATAAATGCATTCTATTTCTGCCTATGATTCTTAGTAACATGTAACTTTTGCTTGGGATAACTAATATGTTAAGTCCTTTGAATTGTTTTCAGAAGTATTCTCACATATTTAAAAGGTAGAGTGACAATAATTCTATTTGTTTTATCTTCTGTGTAAATAATTATTCTATTAATTTATATTGTTTTTATATGCCATTTTAGAAATAAAAGCATTTATTTTCCTGTATTTTTCAGTGGTAATTGAAAGTGTGTTTTGGGTTTAAATGTCAAATTTTTTACACTTAAAAGAAGATTATAT